CACACACACACACACACACACACACACACACACACACACACACGGCTCAGGGGTTATCACAGAAGGGGTGGGAAGAGCCAGAGGGAGCAGACGGCTGTAGTGAAGACAGTATTTGCTGTACACGACAGTAGAGTCACACACGTGAACTCACAGCAGCTCCAACATCCAGTCTGTGACTATGTCCACGTCACAGCTCGCAGGCCTGCCCAAGACTAAATCCACCCCAAATCTCAGTGTGGGGGAGGGGCCATGAAGTTCCACTTCTAGATGAGGGGCTATTGGCAATTGGTGGCTGCTAGAGGGAGGAAGAGCCAGGTTCTTTGGGGATGCAGGCCCTGAGAGGTCACCCATGCTGCAAGAGATGGCCCCACGGTCACGCCTATATAGACCTACGTGGACTCAGGGGCATCAGAGAGGGCGGGGGTTGCTTGAACACACGAAGTTGAAAAGGGAAATTAGTGGTGGAGGGGAAGGAGGGAAGAATGGCTGGGAAGAGAATAGGGGACAGATTTGATCCAAACACATCACATGCATGTATGAATCCTAAATAAAATATTTTAAAATTTGACATATGGATTTAAATGTTGGAGAGTCGCCGCGCAAATTGTGTGCTCTTTCAAACAAATCTGCTCCGCCAGCCAGAGACACAGAATAAGGGCTTGCAGACCAGTCCCAACAGCCCCACTCAGGCGAGCATGTCCCATCTCGCCTTCCCTTAGCTGTTAAGATGCCACATTCCCTTCCTATCCCTAAGGAATTCTAAGTATGGACACCCAAGACAATCTCAGACCCTGCCAAGGAGCTTTGGAACCATACCGATAGGCTAGAGGGCAGATAACCTAGGTTAACTTCGTTTGGGCAATGTACAGTTAAGAGAATTAATAAGCCATCGGTGCCGACGACTTCAACACTCTGAGCAAGTCTCCCATACATCAGTCTCCATTTGAGGAAGGAGTTTGAAACTTTCTACTCTCCTCCACAAACATCTTTTATAGTATTGTGGACAGGACTGAGAGCTCAGTGTGAGGAGCTGTGCTAGGTACTAAAGGTGGTTAAGGAACTGCGGCCTGAGGGGCTTCTAACATCACAACATAGGTAAAGAACAAAGCTCATTTAATCTGAAGCCTCTACAAAAATATCATGAAGGATGGGGGTGTGGCAGGATGTGGGGGGGATAGAGAACTTGGATAATATGGACTGGCAAGATGCAAGATGGTTCAGCCAGTAAAGGTACTTGCTACCAAGCCTGATGACCCAAGTTCAAGCACAAGGTAGACAGAGAAGACCAACTCCTACAAGTTGTCCTTTGACAGCCTCCTATACACAAGATAGATAGATAGATAGATAGATAGATAGATAGATAGATAGATAGATAGATAGATAGATAGATGATAGATGATAGGTAGATAGATATAGATATAAGATGATAGATGATATAGATAGATAATAGGTAGATATATATAGATATGATAGGTAGACAGATAGATATAGATAGATGATAGATAGGTAGATAGATATAGATATAAGATAGATAGATAGATAGATAGATAGATAGATAGATGATAGATGGATATAGAGAGATGATATAGACATATGACAGATAGATAGATAGATAGATAGATAGATAGATAGATAGATGATAGGTAGATATATATAGATATGATAGATAGACAGATAGATGATAGATATAGATAGATGATAGGTAGATAGATATATGATAGATAGATAGATAGATAGATGATAGGTAGGTGTATATATATAGATATGATAGATGATAGATATAGATAGATGATAAATGGATATAGATAGATAATAGGTAGATATAGATATATGATAGATATATGATAGGTGATAGACAGATGATAGGTAGATAGATATAGATATATGATAGATAGATAGATAGATAGATAGATAGATAGACAGACAGACATGGATGACAGGCAGAGAGACAGATAGATGCCAGGAGGAGGTGCATATCTCTATCCGGAAGATACTAGTAAGCTAAGAAAAGGCGGCATTGGAGACTAGACCAGCAGGAATGTCTACAGAAGAGAGGTCAGTGTGAGTCTGGGAACACAGGGCTTCTGTGCTACCTGGGACTAGAGGTAGAGAGGAGCCCTGGTGAAGACATGACATGCGTTTGCAAAGAGGATGTGAAGGATCACTTCTCAGCCTTTGGGCTCAGATAGAGTGTAAGAGGGAGGGCGGAAAGTACTGAGTATGAGATCTCAGGGAGAGGAAGGCAGAAGATGATAGACAAAGCCTAAGGAAATAATATGCGTGCTGGCAGTTACAGGAGGATGGGGAGGGCATGGGAGTGGTGATAGACTTAAGCCACACATTCTACCAGGACACTGAAATTCGTTTAAAAACAATCTTTAAACTTTTTATTTAAATTTATTTGTGTTTTCATGTGAATATTTCTCCTGCTTGTTTGTACACTATATGTGTGTAGATGTCAAAGGAAGCCAGAAGATGGTGTTGGAACCTCTGTGAGTGGAGTTAAAGGTGGCTGTAAGCTGCCCAACACAAGTGATGGGAACTGAACCCATGTTCTCGGTATGGACAGCAAGTCCTCTTAACCTCCAAGCCATCTCTCCAGCGCCCCCAAGATCTATATTTTTACAACCCGCCATGTGTCCAAAGTAAGATGGGTAAACCCCTTTGTAAAACTTAAAACATATCTACGTAATGCCTTGTGCCAAGTTCCACCTGTGTACCTTTCTCCTAAAAGGTACCTACCAACCAAGGTCTGGTCTGTGGCTTGGGGAAACCGACTTTCCTCATCCAAAAGTGCGAGAAGGCCCAAGGGTTTCTGGAGGAACATGTCCAGGAGTGGGCGATTGTCTTCATACTGCACAAGGACAGCATCAACGCCTTCATTCTGGTACTCCATCTGGAGGGGAACAGACCGTGACTCTCTGGCCTGAAACTGGCCTCAGTACCACCAGGACATTGAGCCTGTACTTTCTGGGTCTAGCCATATTGAGACGTGTGAGTAACTGGGTATGTTTGGGGCATATAGCAACAGAATTACATATTATAGCCTCAAGGCTGTGCACACAAGCGTGGCTTAAATGTGACCTATTATAGGACAGCAAGAGCTCCCTCCCAGCCACTGGGTTAGAAGCTCATTATTTAGAAACTCAGGCAGGAAAGTGGTAAAGTGAAATCTAAGAACATCATCTTAGTGCTTATGGATTTCTTTCTTGCTTGAAATAAGCATTTAGGACTGGAAAACCAGGCAACCCCATGTTTCCCAGCGAGATAATGGCAGGGCTCAGGCTGTTCCTAAAGTCAAGGTTTGTGTAAGGTGAACAGGGACGAAGGTTCTGCAGACAATCCAGAGCCTGTGTGTTTTCTGTCTTTCTGTCATTAGCGCACAGTATAGTCTTTGTCCCCTCCCCTGCCCACACACTGAAGCCGTCTGTGGCACCCATGGGCTTGTTCACAGCGTTCTGTTTCATGTTGCTTTCACATGGAAGGGAGTCTTGGGTTTCAGCCTGGGTCAGGTGAGGCCAAATACCGCTGAGGCTAAAGCTGCAGGGGGAGACCCTGGCATCTTAGAGCGGCCTGCTTCTCACACTGCCGAACTGACCATTGAACTATGTGAGGAACAGGCTGCACATCTAGAGATTCAAGAACATTCCTCTCTCCTCCCTGGAGACACCCCTCCACTACTGGGGTACCTGATGCAGAGGCAATGAGAGATGATGATGGTGAGTGTGGGTTCTAAGAACCCCATCTTAGGCTCAGGGTCACCCTGTGCCTTTAGGACACCATTATAGGTCATTTTAGCCCAACCAGGAGAGACTGGAAACATATTCGACAATAGACATGGAAGAATTTGGAAGCGAGAGTTAAATAATTGCCGCGTCACCAGCTCCACTCAAGTGAGAGAATGTACCTTTCCACGGAAATCAGGACCTTTTTCTTGTTCCCCGGATTAAATTTAGACTGTTTATTTTGACAGGGCTGTCTTACCGCTAGTTTTTCTATAGTCTTTTACTTGGCAGCCTGACCAACCAGGTTTTGCTTCAAACTGTGGGCAGCCCGGCAGCCCCCCACCCCCACCCCGCCTTCCGCCTCAACCGCTACCTGCTCAAGAGCAAACACATGCTGATTGAAGTAGTACTGGATCTGTTCGTTGGCGATATTGATGCAAAGCTGTTCAAAGGAATTCCTCTGGAAATCCTCAAAGCCAAAAATGTCCAAGATGCCCACATTCATCCTGTCCTCTGCACCACTGCGAGAGAGAGAGAGAGAGAGAGAGAGAGAGAGAGAGAGAGAGAGAGAGAGAAAATGTGTCAGAAGTTGCATCTAGTTACATCTATCTCAAGACAATGAGCCTATAAGTTCATGTGACATGTGTATCCACCCACTTGGGCAAAGATGCCTCCTGCCTTTTCAAGGACAACAGCTTGAAACTTTCAATAAAATTACTTTAAAAAAAAAGAATGAAAAAAATAATAGAGTGCTATAAGTAGAGTCCTTTAAAATCCTACTCAGAGCCAGGCATGATGGCACAAATCTGTAACCTTGGCATTCAGAAGGCTAATACAGGGTTGTTGGGAGTTCAAAGTCATCCCCGGGATACAGAACAGGATGCTGTATCCAACACACACACACACACACACACACACACACACACGTTTTAAAAAAGAGAGAACAGAACAATAATTACGCAGAAGCTCCTATGCAGATCACACAAAGGGGTCATGGCTTCTCCTACATAGTCTCCCATCTACCCACCCCAAAGCCTGCTGGGCAGGAGACTTCAGAATTGAACAGTGTTGCTTCCTCTGCAGCACAGAAAAACTCCAAGGTCCAGGGAGGAGAAAGGAGCCCTAATAACAACAACAAGAGGATGAGTCTGTGCTTTAAAGCTTTTCACAGCATGTCTCATGTATTTCTCGAAACTCTCAAGGAGGATGCATTAACTTCATTTTTATAGAGATGAAAAGTGGCGGAGCACTCAGCTGATGAAGCTGTAGACGTTGGACACGAACCTGGTTTACCTAGCTCCCCGCCAAGCCTCCCTCCGCCCCCCAGTGGCTCAATCGGTCATTCTCCTCTCAGGAGTAAATGCTTCAACTTTCCTGGTTCCCACTGATGCTTTTAAGGGTGAAAGCTAGAGTCCTTTGGCTAAAGAAAACCTACGGAGATCTAAAGTCCCCTCTTGCAAACTCTAAAAGAGACCAGTGGATGATGGATCGCTCCAGGCCTCTGCTCCCCAAGGAACTTACCATATGTTTTTATCTGGCTGCAGGAGTGTGTTGATGCGATTTACGATCCAGCTGAACAACCTCCCATATAGGGCCTTAGACATGGCGTCCCTGACGTCTGCAGCCCTGTCCACGGTGTTGGCTCGGACAATGGTCTCGCCTCGGGTGACCACACAGTGGGATGTGAGGGCCTCCTGGAGCTCTTCTGGGCTGATGCAGAGTACACGGGCAGCTGGAACAAAGAGTATGATCCTAGCTAGACATGAGGACACCCCTTCACACAGCCCATGCCAGTCAGCACCCACAGCATCTACTGTGTGCCAGGCTCCGTTCCAAGTACATCACAGTTCAGACAAGCAAGGCCCCTAACTCCAAAAAGTGTCTGGACTGGACAGCACAGCTCCCAAACTGTTCTGAAAGTTCCCCACAGTATTTAGTAAGAAAAGATGTGTGTGTGTGTGTGTGTGTGTTGTGTGTGTGTGTGGGGGAGGTTTAAGGAGAGAGAGGTCTTTTATCAAATAAATTGGAAGAATAGATAGTCATAAACACATTGGGTAGTGATGATCCGAAACAGAGTTCTGTAGCTTAACACAAAAAGGGTTGTGTTTTGTTTTTATTAATTAAAATGTTTTTATTTATTTTACATACCAACCACAGTTTCCCCTCCCTCCTCTCCTCTTCCCCTCCCCCACCTCTTATATACCACCCCCATCCACTTCTCCAGCTCCTTTCAGTAAGGGGCAGGCCTCCCTGGCTGTCAACAAAGCATGGCACACCAAGTTGAGGGAGGACCAAGCTCCTCCCCTGCATCATGGCTGGGCGAGGCAAACCAGCATAGTTCAAGCACCAGAGACAGGTCCTGATCCCACTGCTGGGAGCCTGACAAACGGACCAAGCTACACAACTGTCACACACACACGCAGAGGGCCTAGTTCGGTCCTACGAAGGCTCCCCAAAAGGGTTTTTTAATCAATTGTTTTGGGGACAGGGTCTCACTATGTCGCCTGGGCTGGCTTCAGATTCTGCATCCCCCTGCCTCTGCACTAGCTCTGAGGTTGCAGCCGCATGTCCAGCTGTTGTTTGGTATACATGAAGAATCCTCGGCGGGGCGGTGGTGGCACACACCTTTAATCCCAACATTCCGGAGGCAGAGGCAGGCGGATCTCTGTGAGTTTGAGGCCAGCCTGGTCTCCAAAGTGAGTTCCAGGAAAGGCGCAAAGCTATGCAGAGAAACCCTGTCTCGACCCCCCTCCCCCCCCAAAAAAAAAGAATCCCCACCCTTTCTTTCATCATGATTGCTAGGAGAACTTTCTAGACAAGTAGGTGCTGCTTTCTCTCCTACAGATGCTCAGTCCATGCATCTATACAGGGGCCCAACCTTTATATTTCTTTAAAAAAAAAAAAAACTGAAAATGATTTTGAAAAGCAGCGAAGGTGGAGAACCACTGGGTAAGCTTTCTTGCCACAGACGGCTTTTCTGCAGAACAACCATCTGTAACATAGAGGGTGAATGCTGCTGTACCCCAGAATGTCCTTCTGGGAAATATTGGCTAATGGAACCATCTAGAGCTCACAGGAGGATGTTACAGCTGCATCATATTTACAGGTTCTTGGAAAACTGTGGAAGTGAAAGACATGAACTTTGACAAGAAAGCACATATGAGCATCAATTACCATTTTCCAAAGCTTCGGCGTTGGGCACCTCACTTTTATCAGTTTGGTGCTGGGAGGAAATAGCCGCAAACTCGATGTTCCCGATATTCAAAATCCCAGCCAGAATTCTGTACACGGAATGCACTTCCTGGAAAGGACATTGAGAACCATGCTTGGAGGCCATTGCCAATTAAAGTAACAAATCACTCACCCTTGAGTTGAAAGTACTATGGTTGTCTATCAAACTCTGCTCTTCCTCTTTCTGAACACATGAAATTTCCCCAAGCTTCCTGAAGTTCGAGGTATCAATGTCACCAAGCATTAACAATAAAGTAAAATGTGCTTCCTCGGGTCCCAGGCCTTTCTCACTATTGCTGGCTGGAACTCCCCACAACCTGGCCTCAGCCATGTCCCTAGACCATCGAAGGGCCACATGGAATGGAGCTGCTCTGCCACCTGCTGTGGTGACCAAGAGATGACCAAGAGCTTTAGCTGTTTACGCTAATCAGTCCCAGCTCCCAAATTCAGAGATGGGCCTTTCTTCAGAACAAGAAGAGTAGAGGTTCCCTCACCTCCTTGGGGTACAGCATTTTATAAAATATCTAGGAGTGTATATCCATTGACGGCTTACTAGGATACCTCAGAGCTATGGATTGCAATGCATGATGTGAGCACATAATTTGGAAGACTCACTAGAAATAAACCATGATATTACTATGTATGAAGAAGAAAGTATATTTTGCCTTTGTCTCTAGGTCCTAGCAGAAGAGTTTCTAAAATTGTCTGGGTGATTAGATCTTTGTTGTGGCAACAAGAGTCTTCCAACCCTACCTGATTTCTGTTAGTAAGAGGATCTGGGTGGGCTTCTAGAGAAGGCTTGTAATCGGAGGAGCTGGTTGCTCAAGAGAAACAAGGCTTAGAACTTAGTCCCGTTCTGATCCCATCAAACCCTGGAGAGGGCCAGGGCTCCAAAGTGAGTTAATCAGGTGTGTGTGTGTGTGTGTGTGTGTGTGTGTGGTATGGTGTGGTATAAACTCCACAAAAACCCTAAACAGGATCAGGGAGTTTCCAAATTAGTGAATCCATGGAGATGCTGGCAGGGCAGTGTGCCCAGGCGGCATGAGCCCTTACTGTTCACTGTCCATTCACTTTTCATTTGGCTATCCCTGGGTTGTAACATTTATAATAAGTCTGCAACCTTAAGCAAAATGTTTTCCTGAATTCTGTGAACTAGTTATTAGTTACTACTACCACCAATAATAATAATAATAATAACAACAACAATAATAATAATAACTAGAATTAGTTATACCAACTAATCAGGCTACGGAATAAGGTCATGGTAACTTTGTAACCAGTTCAGAAGTGTAAAAAGCCTGGGGCTTTCAACTGGTGTCTGAAGTGGGGGGTCTTGTGGGACTGAGCCCTGAACTTGGAGGATCTAATACTAACTCTACATAAACAGACTGAGTAGACTTGTAGTTACTGAGCTGGTATAAGAGATTAATTGATAGACTATTAGGAAAAACCTCACTTTTTGGTGATATAAATTTGAGTAAAATCCATTCAGATCATCTGAGTCCTGTTTTCATGTTCAAAGTTGAGCATGTAAGTAGCATTAATGAATTAAAAATAATGCATGCTTTATTATTTAAATTTTTCATTTTCTATACATGAAACAAGGGAACATCTAGTCGAGAAATGTCTGCATTTTATGCTATTAAACAAAACTACTTTCATAAAACATATTCAAATGGGTTGTTTGATTTAATACCATATACAGCAGCTAAGTAATAGGAACTGTCACTAGACCCTTGATAAATACTGCCCCCCAAACTGAGCCTCCCTGCAGACATTACTCAGGAAAGCCTAAAATCTGAATGCAGGCTGAAACACTGACATCTGCTGGATGCCTGATAATGTTACAAAGATGAATGAGGCTTCTGAGCCAGGCTTCGGCTCTGGATAAGCATTGTTCTTCCAGCTTCTAAATCAAGGGCACGACATCATGTTTTAGACTTGAAGAATCCTTATTTAATCACACCACTTAAAAGTAGCTAAGGAGAACACCTACCAAATGGGTTTTTTTCAGAACTTGCCTGGATTTAACATGACAGCCCCTCATTACTGTGATCAATACAGGATGAGTCCTGCTGCATGCATCAAGCGACTCCCGACGGAGGCAGATCTGAGAGTTTAAAGCCAAGACCATAGCGATGAGTTCTGCATCTCCCATGTCTGTATCCAGCCTCCTCCAGGTTTTATCTAAATCTCTCCTCACTCTAAGGGAAAGTATAGTTCTAACGAACGCACACAGTCCCTACCATAGAAGCCAAGGCATCTCCCCCCAACAGGCCTCAAGCACTTCAGCACGGTGATTATGAGCGCCAAAGAAAATGGCCACCCGAGACCATGCTCTTGAGATGAACAACTTACCAGGTTGCTTCCCTGGCCACATTTTCTTCGGTGCTATGCCCGGGGGTCAACAAGAGTGGAAATCTACCTCAGACCTCCAGGGAGAACATTTAGATTCAAAGCACGTGGACCGCTAGAGCTGCTTTCCTTCCGGGTCCTTCCTTGGACCAATGACAGAGCAGGGATGGGGCTCTCCCTCTGAGGGTGCTCCCTGTGTGGCATCTCTGGGATTTTCTCCCACTCTACTCCATAAGCCTGGCCTGGGGGCTAACCACACCCCCCTTTCAGACCTAGGAACCTCCCCCTATCACAGAGTTCAGTTCAAACACTAAACCAGCCATGCCAGAGCTCCCAATGCTGCGCCCGTCATGGAATGGCTCCACCTTCCCCAAAACTGCTTGATCAAAGGGGAAATCTTTTTCACTATCCTTAATCTGTTTTCTCTTGCTGGTTTGTAGCTATGGAGACTCTTCTGGAACCTCGGCCTTTCCTGTGGAGTCTTATGGCCCTATTTTTATTTATTTCTAGTCTCTAACTTTCTTTATGACACAATGACAAAACCTCACTCAGTTTTATCAAGGTTTAACAAGTTCCTCCAACCGGGTCATCTCAACAGACTGCTTCTGAGCAGGTCAGCCTCCCTCTGACGAGCAACAGGAGGAGGAGGAGCGCGCTTTTCCAGCAAAGCCCTCTTCTCAGACACTTCCCAGGCAAGTGTTGCCTAGCCGGTGTTGAGGCCGAGTCCAAAGTTAAGAAGGGCTGGCTGTCAATTGGCTGAAACCACTCTGGCTCCCAGGCACCCCAGGCCACTGTCTGTCTTCCCCCCGCACCCCCCCCCCAAAATTTACTTGACCTCTTTCTTTTCTCAAAATCTCTCACTTTTGTCAGTTCTGCCCTAAACACTGTATCAGGGGCTGCTGAAGACTGTAACATATTACTTACCTTCTTGGCATGGCTTATGATATTTAGTGACTTAAAGGTCAGTGTACCCCACCCTTAAGCTTTTCAACGTCTATTTTAACATATCTCTTTGGAATCTCTCTTTAGAAGTATCATTTTGATTGGTGATATAATTTGAAGAAGGAGAAGAAATTTTGCCCTGAACTTAGGTTTCGTTGTGGCCTCTGTGTCCAAGGACCTGCAGTACACGCCCACTCTCTACCATCATATTCAGCATCCAGGTGTTCACGCACTTTTAAACACTGCAGCTCAACTTACATAGTATGTTAGGATACTGCTGGTACCAGCAGGGCCAGCATTATTTAATATTAAACAGAAACAGTGGGTTTGGCTCAAGACATCTCAGCTGGGTGTAAGGTCAAATCCCTTTGTCCTTTGCACAGAGCCGCCATCATTACTGGAGGGCTCCTTCCGCCCTGGAAGTTTCTTCATGGAACTGCTAGGGGCAGGTGTTCTTTAGAATGCTTTCGGATGGTGCCTGGAATTAAAATCCATCCTCCCAAGTCCGCACTAAGGTTTGCCTGCCTAATTTTGTCATGAGTTTTTTTTTTTTTGGGGGGGGGGCGGCGGGTACAGAGCAAACAAACAAAAAACAAACTTGAAGAGTTCCCACAGGGAATGAGGGACCTTCTAAGAAAGGACAGGAAATACAATTTTAATTGAATTGGTCAGTTCATTTAAGCTCCGTTGAGAATGACTGGCAGAAAATCATTAGAGAAATTCTGTCCCATCAGTTACTTGGCATTCTGCTGCCTGATTCTATACGACTTAGTCTTCCTGAGTTTAGGCCTGGTACCGTGACTTTATAAACACGGCCTGAAGTCAGATAATCCAGCAGAGCAGGTTGTCTGCAGAGATACAGGGTCAGAGAGATAAAATCCATCATCTGCCTTGCATTTCCGAAGCTACTGACCAAATTAGGTTGGTTTATTCCCAAATGAACTAGTGTGGGACACAGGGAAGAGACACACAGTGACTCACTGTCACTTCCCTGTTATGCACCAGAGAGAAACATACAACATATTGTCGCCTTCCTGTTATCAACAGGGAAGGTATACACAGTGACATACCATCATACTCCTGTCCTGTACTGGGGAGATCCACCCAGGGACACATCCATGGTGACGTACTACCACACTCCTGATACACACTGTATAATCTGGGGAGATCCACCCAGGGACATATCCATCGTGACATACTACCACACTCCTGATGCACACTGTATAATCTGGGGAGATCCACCCAGGGACACATCCATCGTGACATACTACCACACTCCTGCTGCACACTGAGGTGAGAATACACAGTAACAGGCCATTATACTCCTATTACTCATTGACCACACACAAATTAAGAAGTTTCACCCTCTCATTTTTTTCTTCTTTATATTCATTTACACTGCCATTCTTTCCTTTTATTGTACCCACCACCCTGTGCTCAGGAATGGCCTGCCTCAACGGCGTATACTGAAATGCTTAACTGCTTCTGTTAAATTTACCCTTAAACCATCAACATCTGTTTTATTAGCAGCGGCCATGCTGGCTAGCTTTGACATCAACCCCACACAGGCTGGAGTCATTTCAGAAGAGGGAACCTCAACTGAGAAAATGCAGCCACGAGGTTGGCTGTGGCCAAGCCAATGGTGTGTTTTCTGGATCAATGACTAATGTAGAGGGACCCAGTTCACTGTGGGCAGTGTTAACCCCGGGTTGGTGCTGTAAGAAAGCAGGCTGAGCAAGCCATGAGGAACAAGCCGGTAGGTATCACTCTTGCATGGCCTCTGCATCAGTTCCTGCCTTCAAACCCCTGCCCTGAGTTTCCCAGACAAGCTTTCAAATGAAATAAAGCCTTCCCCCTAGTTGCTTTTGGTCATGGTGTTTTATTATAGCAACAGAAGCCCTAAGTAAGACAGAAGCCTATTTCTATCAGAATAACATCACGTGTGTTCTCTTCTGGAGCCAAGGCCAATCACAGCACAGCCTTCTATCACCATCTTTTATTCATCGAAAGCAAACTGTCATCTCCCTTACAGGCTCCCTTCATGGATCCTGTCCCCTTTGGAGGACATGTGCCCCACCCTTTGGCATGACCTCAGGCATGGGCTTGTACTTCAAACAAGTTTCTACCTCTGCCATCAACTCTTCAGATGATATGTAATTGATAACCACGAGCTCTGTACGTGAGCCACCACAAAAATCCCTTACCAAGGCAGGGACCTGTTAAACTATCCTCAAAGGAGCAGAGAGAAATGTGTTTCTATTTTTATCCTCACATATGGAATATTTCCCTGTCCATTTATGGTATGTGAGAGGCCAACAACAACAAAATGAACAGCTACGTAGAAAAAAAAAGAAGAAGAAAGAAACGTATTATTAGGACTAAGATCAGCTATCCTGGGGAGGAAAGAACAGGTCAAACTCTTTGGATTACAGAAGCAATGCTTTACCCGGAGTAGCTGTCCCAAGGTAAACAGAGTGTTTTGTAATCTAAGATTTAACACTCCAGCCTTCCTCCTAATCATTCACCCCCTGTGCCAGCAAAGCGAAAGAGCCTGTATGTTCTTACGAAATCAATGGCACGAAGCCCAGAAACTATGAAAGAATGTATCATGGAGCAATATTTGGTCCTAGAGCTATAAATACTGTGTGTCGACCCCAGCGTATATTTAATAGAGGAAGTCTATATGTAGAATGACGGAAGTGGCATCACACCTGCAGCCACAGTTAACAACGGGCAAGTGTGGAGGAGAAAGTGACCGCAGAGACATTAGGAGAGTTTTAATTCGTCTGTTATAGGCACAAAGAGCTACTTGCAAAAGCATGTCCTAGGGTTTAGGCATAACCTATACATCCCCGAACCCCTCTTTTCAGGGCAGTATTCTTTTGGCATCTGTTGCTACAACCAGGTTGAATTTATAGCAATGGTAATAATTGATAGGTGTTTGGTCCTTACAGGCATGCCTCTCATCATGTATGTTCATTTGGGCATCTTGTTTCAATTCAGATTCTGATTTGGTCATTCTTGGATGGACCAGAGAGTCTGCACTCCAAACAAGCTTTCAGGGAATGACAAAGTTTTGGATCCTTAGACCACGTGTTGAGTAGATCACATGTTATCTCACAAGTGACATGCAGTTGATGTGTGTCCAGCAAGTTAGAACACCCATCTGCAGACATTTCACATTGAGTTTGTCTCTCTCTTGGCCAGCATGTACCTTGTTAGTGAATCCAATAATCCTGAAGCAGTGCTGAATTGCTTCAAACTGTCTCCGGTAAGACTCCTTGGAAGTGATGTCCTGCATGACTCTTCCAGTCTCAGCCGCTATGTATCTGAACAAAGTGGGACATGAACCAACACAGTCAGAGTTCGTTCACTTAGCAAGCAGCACTGAACAAGGCCAGGCGAGACCTGGGCTTCTTTGCAAGGGTGTGTCCTTCGCAGGCTAATCCTGTGGCTGGGAGCTTTTAAACAAGGTGAGTGCTGAGACGTAGTGCTTGCCCCCCTCCTCTCCTCTTGCATATTTAACTTAACAGAATGAGTTTCCAGTTAAGGAAACAGCTCCATTTACTTCTAGATTTGTCAACGGCTTAACTGAACACTCAAAATTAACCAGCAGCCTCCTCACCGCCAGCAGCAAGGGGTCTTGCAGTAACACTTACCTAGGGGGCTTTTCCTCAGGAAGTCTGAACTCAGAGAGTTTCTTTTGGTGATAAAGACCAGCATAAATATAGTAAAATATGTGAAAATTTTTCTCTCCCCTGGAAAAAAAAAATGAGGAAGAGGTTTCATTTATACCATATTCCAGGCTTCCTCCATATTCCAGGCTTCCCTGACCTAAATAATTGATTCTATTTCCTCTTTTGTACAAAATATTATTTTGCAACAAATTTACATATGCAGGCAATTAAATATGTATCATCCTAATTACAAAACATCAATAGCGGTAATATTCCTACAGTCATAAGGACAGCGGCGCTTTACCAAACACATGTACCTTCATTATAAACTCACGGTAAATTCTAGAACTAATTCAGGCAGCGGCTCAGGCTGCCTGCAACACTCTCTCCATGCAGCTCCTGGTCCTGTGCACCTGTGTCACCAGCCCCTGTAACTTCAGGGAGTGGGAAGCCCAGCCCACAGTGACCAGCCAACCCCCCCCACACCCCGCTCTGCTGGAGCCCCAAACAGAAAATGCTTGGAAATCCCACAGCAGTCAAGAAAGCATTAGTTTCAGAGCCGAGGATTGCACTCTCCCAAGGTGTAATGCTTTCAGACACCCCTAAAAATGCCATTCCTCAGTCCCCAGTGCCTCCTGCATCCACGTCTTTTCTTTTGTCTGTTTTAAAAGTTTTGGGTTTTTTATTTTTATTTTTAATGGGAAGGGGTGTTTCACCTTCACATTATCATGTGCATCACGTGCATGCAGTACTCATTCGGGCCAGAAGAGGGTGTTGTATCTTCTGGAAATGGAGTTACACGAAATTGCTAGGTACTCCATGGGTGCTCAGAACCGACCCTAGATTGTCTGCAAGAGCAGCAGTTGCTTTTAACTCCCATCTTTCCATTCCTTGCCCACATCTTCGGAGCTGCCCTGGACAGGCTGCCCAGGGTTTTCATAGCGTCCGCAGATGATACAGAAGGAAGCAAGACGTATGTACATGCCCAGACACTGCACAGCAAGGGGAGGCGTCATGACCTCAAAAGCATGATCGGGTCTTTTCTTTTTTAATTTTTTTTTTCATTTTACATACAAGCCACAGTTCCTCCTCTCTCCCCTCCTCAAACTCCACCCTCCCCATCCACTCCTCAGAGAGGGTAAGGCCTCCCACGGAGAGTCGGTAAAGCCTGGCATATCAAGTTGAGGCAGGACCAAGCCCCTCCCCGCTACATCAAGGCTGAGCAAGGTGTCCCTTGTTGTGATCCTCCTGCCTCCACGTCCCCAAGGCTGGGATCGCAAGGTCCATGACACCACGCCAAGCTCCCTTCATTGTTTAAAATAAATTGTGTGTGTTTAAGGTATGCAGTATGACACTGAATGTACAGAGATGATTTGAAAAGATTATTATTTCAACGTATAAATGTCCTGAATGCCAGTTATGGCAGGAACTACTCTGGATGCCGGAGAAACAGGACGAAGAGGATTCATACTCTTTTGGAGCATTCCTTCTAGATAGAGTTAGATGAAACAAGAGGGGGGGCTTGAGGTCAGGGCTTTAAAATCAACAATCATGGGGCGATGATAAAGAATAATGCTTGGAATGGAAAACACTTGTGCCAAGTCAGGAGAACTAACCCTATAGGGAAGCCCCGAAGCCTGAGCAGGTGTTTCAAGGAGTTGTCGACAGAAAGGAAACAGACAGAAGTCTGCACACAAGGGCGCAGAGAACTGTCTTATGCTTGGCCAGCCTCTGAAAGGCTCTTTATTCAATGTCCATTTGTGAGATGCTGTGGGATGTTCTGTATGTCCTGTGGGAGCCCTTCTTGAGTTCTTTGTGGCGTTACCCAGCAGGTCCGCATAGAGGATGATTAGGACCATGGGCCTGAGTGCAGGTGTCTGAGATGGTCTGCACTTGGCTGTGCTGGGGGATGGTCTGTATGTCAAGTTGTTCTGATTGATCAATAAATAAAACCTGATCGGCTGTGGCTAGGCAGGAAGGATAGGCGGGACTAACAGAGAGGAGAAATAAAAGGACAGGAAGGCAGAAGGACTGACTGCCAGATGCCGCCATGACCAGCAGCATGTGAAGATGCCGGTGGGCCACCAGCCACGTGGCAAGGTATAGATTTATGGAAATGGACTAATTTAAGCTATAAGCACAGTTAGCAAGAAGCCTGCCACGGCCATACAGTTTGTAAGCAATATAAGTCTCTGTGTTTACTTGGTTGGGTCTGAGCGGCTGTGGGACTGGCGGGTGACAAAGATTTGTCCTGACTGTGGGCAAGGCGGAAAACTCTAGCAACAGTGAGACCTTCAGATGACCTCATCCAGAGATGGGGGACCAGGAAATAGGATACTGGAGTGCGCCCACAAGGGCAGAGTCACCACAGTTAGGGAGGCGGGACCTGAAAGGCCTTAACATCTCTTCATCTCATTCAAATCTCTTAACAACCTTGGGAGGTTGGTGTTATTAGGCCTGTGTGACACATGAAGACAACAAGATGAGACAATGTTTATGCCACCGAGCAACATGCCATAGGAAGAGCATGGAGCACAGGTCACAGCACCATCACTCGGTCAGAGACAGCTCTCCACTTTAAAACCATACTAATATGGGGTGACGGGGGAGAGAGAGACTCACACAGGGCAGCTTCACACACCTGTAGCTCCATCTTTTCATTGTTCATACCAGCTTCTACTGTGTGAGGAAACAGGAAACTGTCTGATAGAGGAAGGTGTTTGGTGCTTCTGTTTAACAGTTGTGTGTGTTTGTTTTGTGCTGGAGATCAAGCCTGGCACACCATACCCCACCAGCCACACCCACAAACGTTCAGCTTCTTCAGCTAGTCCCCGGCCTGTGGTTTCCGTTGGCCCAGTGTCCAACTACTCAGTCTTTCTTGCTCTCCACTCTACCACCTTTATCCAGCGTATGTTCTCACACACACATTTGGCGACAGCCCCCTCTCATCTCCATCGGCCCACGGATGCTAGAGTTAGCATTTCAAAGCAGCCACACCCCTGCCCGAGAGAGTTCTCCAGTTTCCTAGTCTTTCTAGAAAAGGTTCAAAATCCTCAGCCTGGCTCCAAAGCCCTGCATGATCCATTCTCTGTCTCCTCCCCACCCCTTTCTCCCCACTCCTGTCTCCATTTTAGGAGTTGTCTGACTCCGAAGTGATCCACAGATCTCAGATCAAATGTCTTAAACCCGGGGAACGCATCTTTCCTTCCGAATCCCAGGTGTGCTGGCTAGCTTCACATCAACTTGACACAAGACAGAGTCGCTTAGGAAAAGAGAACCTCAATGGAAAGAATGCTCCTGTCAGATTGTTTTGTGGGGCATTTGGTGTAAGAAAGCAGGCTGAGCAAACCATGGGTACAAACTAGCCAGCAATACTCCTCCTCCATGGCCTCTGCATCAGCCCCTGCCTCCAGGGGTCTGTCCTGTTTGCGTTCCCATCCCGACTTCCTTGGATGTCGCACTGTGATGTCAAAGTATAAACACAAGAAATCCTTTTCTCCCCAAGTTACTTTCGGTCGTGGTGTCTTAGCACAAATGGAACCCCTCTTTCCTCATGAACCCACACAACTCCTGTTGGGGGATATTTGATCACATTGTAAACCCCAAGTTAGCATTTGTTTTAATTAAATAAAATTAACTTTGGGTCAGGAGACTGAGTTAGCAACTAGCTGACAGAAAGTAATCACAGAGCATCACAGGGCATCTAGAAGAGATGGAGAGACACACAAGAAGTGATAGGGAGGGGTTTTGAGTGGTGCAGGGTTTTTTTGTTTTTTGTTTTTTGTTTTTTGTTTTTTTGTCTTGGCACAGCAGAAAGAGGAGTTTTGGGGGAGATGCCAGCAAGGAGAGAAGGTTAGCTAGTTGCTACTCAGCCTCTCTGAGCTAGCAGGTTTTCACCCCAGCCTTTGAATCTCAAGTCTTATTCATAAATAGAACAATAGAGATTTAGTTAAAGCTCCCTTTAGCGGCAGCAACAGGGCCTGTGCCTGAGAGTACAGAATTCCCACCAGGCTGCAGCCTGAGTGGCCGGGCCACTTCCAGAGAAGCAGGCCACTAACCGTGGAGTTGCAGTTGCTGGCTGAAACAGCAGTAGATTAAGGTGCAGCCACTGTGTCAGAGATAAAACAACAAATTCCTTTTCCTAAATCAGGTTATGTGTTCTCCTTTTTGGCCATTTTACCTTCCTCGCACTTACTTGTGTGCATGGAGCCCCCTACTCCTGAAAAACACTGGTATCCTGCAGTAATCAAAACCAAGAAGAAGAGTGGCTAACCCTGTTAACATGCACCACATCGCACATGCTTTTGAGTAATTTTATACAGATGGACTTCTCAGTCTTCCCAACAAACCCACAAGGCCATTACCGGTAGCATTTCCATTTCACAAACGAGGCTCTGGACCGTTCAGTGACCGGCCCAATGTCAGAGCGTCAAAACCAGCATTCAAGCCCAGAGCACCATGCTGTTGAAGACTGTTACCGATTATTATAATGCCTTTCTCAAAACAGTGTTGTAGCTTGACTAATGTCCCTAATAGGCCTGTGTATTTGAGCACTGGGTCCCCAGTTGGTGACACTGGCTGACAAGGTTATGGAACCTTCAGGCAGTGGAGCCTTGCTAGAGGAAGCACATCACTGGGGCAGGCTCTGAGGTTTGAGCACCTGACCAGACTTCCTGTCCTCACTCTCGGCTTCCTGTGTGTCGATGGAATGTGATCGGCCAGCTTCGTGCTCCTGGCTACCGTCTTTCCTAGCCGTGATGGACTGTGTCCCCACTGGGACTGTAAGCCAACCCTCCCTCTCCCAAGCCTTTTATCATTCTATCACAGCAACAGAAAAGTAATTAAGGCATAGTGTAACTGCATTCTTTCCCAGTTGAAAGAAAAATTTGTGGAATATTCTCAGTGCCTTTTTAAAAATATATATACACAATTTCACATTTAGGGATAAAGTGGATTTTTTGGGTTTTGTTTGTTTGTTTCCCAGAGAAGGTTTCTCTGTGTAGCCCTGGCTGTCCTGAAACTTGCTCTGTAGACCAGGCTGGTCTTGAATTCGGAGATCCACCTGCCTCTGCCTCCTGAGTCCTGAGATTAAAGGCATGTACCACCACCACCCGGCTGATAAAGTGGATTTTTAAGGTGTGTGCAAATTAATCATTGTTAAATTCTACCTTACACAACCAACTCAAGAGAAACAGATATACCATTCATAAAGCGTCCCCCAAGTCCTTTCCAATCTCCCCTTAATGCCTTTTGGCATTAAAAACAAAAACAAAGCAAACAAAAACAACTACCACCGAGGGCTGGAGAGATGGCTCAGCTGTTAAGAGCACTTGCTGCCCTTGCAGAGGCTTTGAGTTCGGTTCCCAGACCGCACACAGCAGCTTACAGCCATCTGTAACTTCTGCTTCGAGGCTCTGACTTCATCCTCTGGTCTCTTAGGGTGACAGGCATTCACACAGCGCACAGACATACATGTAAGTAAAACACTCATGAACATAAGGCAAAACTAAACCCTGGAAAACAAACAGATTAACCACCACTGATCTTTTGCTTTAAAAAATCAAGGGAGACTAAAGAACAAGAGGAGACGGAACCTTTAGAGTTCCCCATCCTCCATTTGGCAGAGCAAAAAGAGTGATCAACTATAAAGTGCACCCACGCTGCCTGCTTGATGACTCTGGACTTCTCAAGGAGATACTCGGAGATTCTTGCTCCCATCACAGCTCCGGTGGGGGTGAACATCATTTCCAGATACTTCCCAAACCGGCTGGAGTTATCATTGATGGCAGTGCAGGCGTTCCCGAAGGCCTCCACCAAGGAGTTCACTTGGAGAATTTTCTGACGTAAGGTCTGATTGTTGGCCTGGGAGGAACAGACGGCAGGCAGTTGGGAGAAGCCTGCAGAAGCAGGCATTCCGATCATGTCTCCAGGCACCACACACACACACACACACACACACACACACACACACACACACACACACACGGCCCGTGCTCCTTTTCTAAGGCACACACACACACACACACACACTCTCTCTCTCTCTCTCCACTTTAGGAAAGTTAGTGTCAATGAAGGAGTCACCAAGTGCCGTGAGTCACAACACCAGATTTGGCGGCAGTTTTAAAGTCTGACTGCACTGCATAGAAAATCTTCGATGGATGTGTACCGCTTAACAGTTTACAAAGGTTTCCAAAACCAGACATTCTCTAACTTTTCCACCGCGCTCTTCAATAAACCTCACTTCTAATAAAGGAGGACTCCTCAAACCGCTCTTAGGCATGTGATGCACAAATGCTAAGACTAGGCAATGCCCGGACTCATCCTGCAATCCTTCCCTCCACGTCTGTGTCCAGGCTGCAACTTTCCTTTTCCTTAACTGCTGCTCAGTGGATTCCATTTGCCGTTTTCCTAAGCACCACAGCGGATCTGACTCAGTTTCTAGTCACTTCCCCCACTTAATGGCTCAATGTTTCCATTACATTGAAAACACACAAGATAAATTAATTTGCCCACAATCTAGTAAATCTGTGTTGGTATTGTTTTTCTCACTACGTGAAGTAAGGACAGCATGCTGGCATCTTAAGAGCTTAGCTATCAGGAGGCAACACAACAAAGATGAAATGTTCTTATGTAACCCCCGATTTAAAAAAAAGAAAAGAAAATAGAAAATCTTATCTGCTATGAAATGCACAGTTGGTTCTGCAGGGATTTCAAGCCAGACACAGACTCCGGTTGGCCCATACCTTTCCCAAGAAAGTCAGATGCTGAACGATGAGATGGGCGCTCTCCGTCTTCCCTGACCCGCTTTCTCCACTGATGACTATGCACTGACATAGAAAAGAGAGTCAGGGAGGAACCCAACAAATTACCCACAGAAACAACCTGTGCATTTGGTGGTGGCTTTTCCACATAACGCCCTCCGCTACATTCCTCCATTTCTCACTCAACAATCATTCTATCCGGGGACTCTTTCCAGTCTATGAAGAGCTGGGACAGCTGCTTGCCATTGCAAAGGACAGATGTAACATCGTCTGGTGGTGCCATTGTTAATTGATCCTTGTCTATTCTTGTTATAAACTATATTGCAATGAATAATCCTACATGCAGGTCATTGTATCTACATTCAGATTCATCTGCTGAATAAATGCTAAGTGGGCAACATTCCATCAAAAAGTAAAGGTCTTTGTGAAATAGCTATTACTGTGTTGCTTGGCCAGGGACCACAGCAGCGGGCTAATTCACTAGAGTAACAACTTGTGTTCACTGGCATGTTAGAAAGGGTACAGAATCCAGGGCCATACGTGGGAGACATGAACAGAGCATGTGGAGTTGACGTGGTGGCACATGGAAAGCAGTCCGCTCTCCTGCATCCTCACCACACAGTGCCTTGATTTGTGCCAATCTGATAGATTAAAAGCAGGTTTTCAATACACTTTGAATCTGTGCCTCTTTTATTATGAGGGAGGTCAAAGGCCTGCCATGTGCTTAAGGTCAACCATATTTTCTTTTTTGGCCTTATCTCTATCCTTTGCCTGTTTTTATTGTATTGTTGACCATGTTCTTTTTACACTTCCTGGAGCTCTTTGTGCACACAGGAAATCAGTGAGAAGGTAGAATAAAAACCACGTATTCGGCCTTTGTCCTTGGTTCCCAGAAAACAGCTTTTGGCGTTTCCCGACTGATGGAGTGATAGGAGTGTCTTCTGCTCAGGAGGAATGCCTCTACCCACATCTGTGCCTGTGCATCAGGTGGTTCCAAGTGGAGCCAGACGGCCTCAGATGGGGATGGGCAATGAGAAAGAACAGATAGATGGTTAGAAATGGGAACTTTCAGACCCCCTCCCATCTTCCAGGAAGGCAAAGAGGTTGCAAATTGAGTTCAATAAAAACCTTTACTGAAAATAACTAATTTATTTAATTATTCAAAATATTCTATTAGCATATATTCCTTGCACAGTGTTGGATTTCACAAAGATAATTTTTTTCAAGTCCATCATGTACCTTGACTATATTCATCCCAGTTTTATTCCCTGAGTTATAAAATCTTTTAAATGGTTTGTTTATTTTTTTTATCATATGTGCATTGGTGTTTTGCCTGCATGTGTGTCTGTGTGAGAGCATCAGATCCCCTTGAACTGCAGTTACAGACAGTTGTGAGCTGCCATGTGGGTGCTGGAATTTGAAATTGGGTCCTCTGAAAGAGCAGCCAGTGCTCTTAATCACTGAGCCTCTGAGTTATGAAAACTCTTAAACAAATGAGATTCAATGAGTTTAGAAGCTGAAGAATTGAAGGTCCTGGGATACAGTGCTCAGGTGAAAGGCAGGATCCTGTGTGCTCCCACTTTCTCCCTCCATCTGTTCCACGTATGTCTCCCATACAGCTGCCCTGGGTTGTACCCTAATATGCCAGTACAGACAAATTTAGTCTTCTCCTTAGTTCTTTGAGTTGTTCTGGTGAATTAGTCAGCCTGAAAGAGGATTGTTGGAACCCATGAACTTGGCTTGGCAGGAGTGTGGGGATCCTGGGTACTCCTTTTGTGACTGGCATCTGATATGTGGGCATTTTTATTGAAGTTAACTATGGAATGCCTGCTTCTACTTTTTAAAGGGTTCCTATGAGGAGGAGAGAAAAATAAGAAACTTATAGATAGAAAGACAGCAGAGAGGAGACAGACAGAGACACAGGATAGCTTCGGGAGGACCTGGATCAAAATCCACCGGCCCCTCCTGGCTCAAAGGGGCTTTTTATAACAATGCAAGGGGCAGAGCAAAAGATCTGCCCCTTGCTAGATCAAAGCATGCTGCACAGCCAAGTGCAGACCCTTCCAAACACCTGGTAACCACGCCCGTGGTCCAATCATTTCCCTCTGCAGCCCTGCTGGGTAAAGCAAGCTCAGATCTCACTAGGAAACTTCTGTGGGCCTCCACAGATAACCTATAACCTGTAGGGTCTGTCTCCAGAGTGTGTCAGGATTACACTGAATTGTAGGACACCCTGGAAAAACTGTTTAGTATTGGAAAAGACACAATTTGGTGTCAGAAACAAAATGGGGGTAGGGAGGGAAAAAAAAAAACCTACAGCAGGCAAGCTTTGTAGCCTGAAAGTCACGTTCTCTCTGTCGACTTCTTTCCTCTCCGGGAAATCTGCGGACGGTTTGCAAATCTTCATAGTAATGCAAAGATGTTCATCTCTAACACCAGTAAGCCTCTGTTCTGTGAATTTTACTGTGCAGTGGTTTGAGTGAGAAATGTCCCTCATAGTATCGGTCATTTGAACACTGGGTCCCTAGTTGGTGGTGCTGTTTGGGGAGGTTTAGGAGGTGTGGCCTTGCTGGAGGGGTGTGTCACTGGGGGGCTTTGGGAGTAAAAACGTTTCACCTGCTTCTCCTTGTCTCTCTTTGCTTTGTGTTTGCAGTTCCAGATGAGCACTCTCAGTGGCTACTCCAGCAGCCACGCCTGCTCGCTGCCCCACTTTTCCACCAGGACAGACTCTTATACCTCTGGAGCCGGAAGCTAACTAAACCCTTCCTCCTGGAAGTTGCCTTGGCCATGGTGTTTTATCACAGCAACAGAAAAGCCACTAATACACACTGTTATATGCTGTGGGATGGTCTGTATGTCAAATTGCTCTGATTGGTCAATAAATAAAATACTGATTGGCCAGTGGCCAGGCAGGAAGTAGGTGGGACAAGGAGAGAGGAGAATTCTGGGAAGCAGAAGGCTGAGGCAGAGAGACACTGCGAGCCGCCACCATGACCAGCAGCATGTGAAGACGCCGGTAAGCCACCAGCCATGTGGCAAGGTATAGATTTATAGAAATGGATTAATTTAAGCTATAAGAACAGTTAGCAAGAAGCCTGCCACGGCCATACAGTTTGTATGCAATATAAGTCTCTGTGTTTACTTGGTTGGGTCTGAGCGGCTGTGGGACTGGTGGGTGACAAAGATTTGTCCTGACTGTGGGCAAGGCAGGAAAACTCTAGCTACAGTTATAATTTTGTCTACCCTCAACAGACCCAAAAGTTTAGACTTCCTGGGTCTCTGGAAATATGTACATAGTAAGCTCTCATAAAAATCTCTTGCCAAATTAGGTTACCTCTGTTTGTTTACAGAATGCAGAAATAAAGGAAAATAAATCTAGCAAAACGGAGGAGGGATAAGAGGTAGGATAAGCCGTGCAGTGAATTGGAAGTCTAGGCAATTAAAATTTATGAGTTACATTTGTGTTTAACTAACATTGAACTTAAAGTTTGTCAGTCTTAACCCTAGCCCATCAAATTTCCCATCAGCTAGATGATCAGGGCCAGGTGTAGGGAGTGCAGTATTTCACATACATGGGGCCTAGTCATGAGGATTCTGAAATATTAATAGGAGGGGATTTCATTTATGCCATCACACACCCCATTTTTATTACAGCCATTGCATGTAATCAGGTTGTGGCTGCTCTATGTTCTCATTATGTCCATATTAGAAATGTCTTTATTGTGTTTCATGAGAGAAAATGAGTGCTCCCGGTGTGTAGTGAATCTCAAAAGGGTGTTCTCCTTCTCAGGCTTCCAGTTCCCCCATACTGCAATTTCATTCCCCATTTCCTCAGGCTAGCCTCAGCAGCTACAGGTCCAAACAAAAATGGCAGATGAGCCATGTTCTACCTTGTGAGCTGGCAGAAGAGGAAAGCTAGTCCTTACCTGGTCTTTGCTGAAAGTAACCAAACACTGGTAAGCGTTATCAGCGGATGCAAATATGTGGGGAGGATTCGAGGCACGTCTCACCCCATGATAAAGCCTGGAAAACTGGAGGAAAGATGCAACTCATTTACAGGACCCTTCAAGTGCTCCACTGGACCATCTAATGCTTTCACCATCTATCACCCAGAAAAACAAGGCTTTTCGCTTGAGGGCACTCGCTGCTTCTGGGAGGCTCAGGGATCTGCAGGCCGATGTTCTGACTCCTGTTCTCCATTACTGGCTGCCCAAGCTCGGGTAAGGGGCACTAACGGCCTTACTCTGGCTCTTCCTCTACTGAAGGGACATAGTATTTACAGCTTTCCCCGTGTCATAGGGTGATAAGAAGTGACCCAACTCAGTGCTTGGCATGTAGCAAGCAATCAGTATTTGTTAACTTTTATTGTTGCTTGTTTAAGAAGTTTCTCCCAAAGATAAAATCCCATTTGTGTTAAGCTATTGTCTACAGTTTGGGATATCAGTCCCATGGTGGGAGATGGGTTACTGGTTTTAATACTACTTCATTTTATTTGTATGTTTGATTTTCTTTTTCCATTGCCGAGGTTTGAACCCAGGGTCATGTACACGTACATGTTAAGTAAGCAGTTCCACTGAGCTACATCCCCAGCCCCACCCAGCCTTGTGATTTTTAATCACCCATGAAGGAACAAAATACTTTTAAAGCAGTCCTCACCTGTGGAGAGTATATGCTTAGATTCTGGAAGGGGTTTAAGGCAATTAGTATATCTCCAACATAGGTGTAGATCAGCGCGTCTTCATACCGCTTCTGCAGCCAATAGATAAGTGTTTCCTAGGAAGAGGAGAAGCAGCTTTGAGAAACACAATCGGTCGAGGCAGAGATGCTAAGAGTACACATTTTAGTTTAAAAAGATTAAAGCAACCCATTCAAATCTTAACATTCTTAATGACTTTAAGTCTCTAAAATGATGACAGAGGCCTTGAAAAGATGCAATAATAAGAATGTGCTGAAAGAATTAAGAATTGCTGACAGGCATCGAGATAGCCAACGAAGATTTCAGTTGTTACTGGGCTGGGGGCAGACTTTGTCCAATCAGGAGGTTCTGTTTATAATTAGATTTAACCATATGCGACAGATCCCCCAGGTTCTGAGAACCGAACTCAGGGTCCCTGGGTGAGCAGCAATTGCTCATGCTATTAACAGTTGAGCTGTCTTGCCAGCCCTAGTAATTTCATTTCTCAAAAGTTACACTTAAAGACCTGATTGTGGGAATATGGAGTTGAACTGTGGTGTTACCCGTCAGTGACTGAGGTGTTGGCGCTGAGGGTCCTCAGCAGTAGACTCTGCAGAAGTTCAACTTAACTAGCAGCCCACCCAAATGTAAGTGTCCTGAGTGAGGAACGGTCATAGTTTTCAGATTTCAAATGCGAACTATAATACCTCCACTGCTGTGAAGGAAACGTCTCCTTGTGAAGAACAAACAACTGTCTTCAGGGTGGAGGGCAATATTTTTTAATTAAATAGAAAATAAATTTAAGTTGGTGGGCATCATTGGTCAGGCCTGTGGTATAGCAGGCTTTACTAGAAATGTTTTTCTTCATCATTCCAAAACTATAAATGAGCACACAGAGAATCACAGTCACAGAATGGAATGTTCTTTGAGCTTCCCTCTGTAGCTAACCAAACAATTAAATTTTTGAATGACAGAAAAATGTCCAGAGAAGGGACAAGTCACCTGTGTGACACACAAGCTACCCATGAGAGTTGTGTACCAAGCCTTCAGTACCTCATCCAGGACCTCGAGATTGACCAAGTCATCCTCAAGGCAGTACTTGTCAGCATCCTCCACTCGATAGGGCCTTCTGGTATGCATCCTTTCATGCCTGGAAATGAGAAGAGAGTAACAACCTCCAGATGGTGCACGCTGCAGAAGAAGCAGGTGACGAGGGCAGCTCACCCGGGAACTCAGTACGTGACAGTTCCAGCAACCTCAGCACCAGTGACAGCAAAGCCCGTCGAGTGAAGCCTGTCCAGACGCCACACTCCGCCTGTGGCGCCATCCCGGGAAGTCTCCATTCCACACAGTGAAACGCTTTACCAAGTGGACCCACCAAACATTCTTTTTGTTTCCTAAATTCCAGCGCTTGCAGGAGGTATCATCTACATTTTTTTTCCCTGCTCAGTGTGGCACAAGGTCTGTCTGAGTGTGATGCTTCACATAAAAGGAACAGAAATCCTGAAACTAGACCATTCTACATCTGGCTGAAGCATAGATTTTCCTCTAAGTGACAGCTGTGGTAACTTCCTTCTCTTAATATCCCCTTGCCCTGACTGCCAAGCACCCAAACTTTTTGATATATATTTTTCAACTACAGAACTTTTCAAAGAATAATGTTGTAAGTACCAAAGAGTTAATTGTATTTTGCATTTTACCTTGTTTCAAAATTCCCTTGTGACTTTTCCCCAGAAGGACTCCTCTCATGAGGTGACTGTTATCTGGAGACTTTCTCCCAGCCTGTTCCTAAATGTTGGTCAAATGCATCCATGCATCTATGGGCAACAGGTGGGGTATGCATGTTTAATTATAAAAATTGATACTCTGGGAGTTTTAGTTAGCATCTGTTTTGTTTTGTTAACATGTATTTACGTACATGTGCACTTGTGTATTCACATGTGTGTGTCCACAAGCCCTCGTGGAAGCCAGAAGGCAATCTTCAGGAGTCGGTTTTCTTCTTCTACCTAGGTCTGAGGGATTGAACACACGTCACCAGGCTTCTGCAGCAAATGCTCTCACCTGCTGAGCCATCTGTCAGACCTGAACTATACTTTCCTATTGTGGGACAGTGCTCACCAGATATTTCAAAAGCTTGAGCTACAATAAAGAAAAATCTCCCTTGGTATTCCAAAGTACAGTTTGCTTTGGTTTTTGCTTATTTGTTTGCTAACAAGATCTCATGGATCCCGGGCTGACCTCTTAGAACTCACTGTGTTAATAGAGGAGGACTTTGCATTCCTGATCCTCCTGCCTCCACCTCCCGAGTGCTGGAACTACAGGTGTGCATCACCCCACCCAGTCTGCCTGGTGCTGGCAATCAAACCCAGGACTTTGAATACATCACATAAGCATTCTACCAACTGAGTCACATCCCAGCCCCAAATGTAAGTCTTTAGGTAATACAATTAATTTAAGTAGGCACTCCCATAATTCCCTTTGTGAAACTATGATACTCATGAGTGTCAAAGGGGACAGGGAACATGGGCCTATAGCTCTGGTCCCTGTCTCAGAGTTGTGAATCATGACTGAGACACTCAGAAAATCCCTTAACAGCAGCAACTCAGTCCTCTTCACCTATAAATGGAATCGCTCGTGACTAGTCTATCTGTCCCACAGCTGGCTGTGAAAGCACATACAATCTTGGGTATAAAAATTCAAATGAGATTTTAAAATGCATCAAGTACTATTCTTAGGCCCTTATCGAAATTTGGAATCAACTCCTTTCAATACTCAGAATACCGTTAAATCACACATGTAAAATGCCCTCCTACATCCTGTAAGTTCACCAGTAGGGTGGCATCGCTGCTTCCCTGGGTGGTGGCACATACCCAATATCATCACAGTTATAGGTGTCACCCTCTGATGCAGTTCTGTGTCCCTGGGTCCCACAGCTGGTTTTCCCTCCTGTTTGCTATACAGTACTGCACAAAAATCATGGACTCTCCATGTGTAATTTCCCCCTTGCTACACACACATAGGAAGTAGGCAGTAAGACACCTTTGAATCGGCTACCCCGTGTCCTCCTTTCCCAGTGCCCATCATTGGTGGTTTCAGATTAAAAAGTTCACGTGAAGTATATTAGTCATCTGCAGTACTGGAGTCAGTTTGGTTGCAAAAATCTAAAATAAAACCGAGGCTTCATTTTATTTAATCTAACCACATCAGTAACCTAAGCATTCTTCAGTGGTTGACCAGAACCTTTCCTTTGTGTCTTTACATGTACTCGATATCAATGAGAAGTCACACTGGGAGCCGTCCAGTGGACTCAGTGATTGAGTGGGTGCTGCTTTCCCAGGAAACCTGAGTTTGAGCCCCAGCACGCATGCCCACAACAGGCAGCTCAAACAGTCCTGCCAACTCCAGCTCCAGGAGCTCTGACCCTTCCGGCCTCTGCAGGCAGCAGCCATCATGAGCACAGACTCATGCCTACACATGATTTGAAATAATAAAACGTGTGGTGCATGCTTTTAATCCTAGCACTCAGCAGGCAGAGGCAGGCAAACCTCTGTTGGAGGCAAGCAGAATCTACGTAGTGAGTTCCAGGCCAGCCAGGGTGACAGAGAGAGATCCTGTCTCAAAAATAAATAAGATGAGATTTTTTTTTTTAAGATAAAGAAATCAAACTGGCTGAAAGTATATTCTTCGAGTCAGGTGTGGCGATGAACAGGCATAAACCCAGCAGTTAGGAGGCTAAAACATGAGGATCGGGAGTTCAAGACTATTCTGGGCTACCTGAGGAGCTCCCAGCCAGTCTGGGTTACAAAGAGACCTTGTCTCACAAAAAGGGAACAGGGGAGAGAATGCTGATTTTCACTGTTGCTATCTGCATTCTTGATTCCCACTTTATTAAATAAAATACAGGAGGGTGCACACTTCTGCCCCAAATCCCTGCTATATAAGCCTAAGTTTTTCCCCCTTAAAGTTCAACATAAAGAAAAAAAAACTCAACTTTTTGATAAAATAACTGAATTCTCATTATATTAACTTCAGCCAGTTTACCTCTATCCTTACTTACAACTGATAATTGCGTTAAATAAACTATTTGACAAGGAAGTTAGCAAGAGTCTTGAGAGACAGCTCAGTGGTTAAGATCACTGGCTGCCTTTGCAGAGGGCCCTGGTTCCATTCCTAGCACCTACATGGCAGCTCACAACTGTCTGTAACTCCAGTCCCAGGGGATCTGATGCCTTCTTTGGCCTCCAAGGGCATGAGGCATGTGAGTGGTATACAGACATTGTCCACAGAGCTGATGAAGATGGAGTAAACATCCTCCACCTGTGTCTCCAGTTAAAGGCAACTAACTACTCAGGGTGCAATGCTTGAGCAGCTGTCTAAGAATTCTGGGAAGTGAATGCTCACAGGCAGATGGGTAAAGAAATCAGAATTTGAGATCCCAGTCAACCAATGTGCTTCCTAGGGGTATTTTCCTCCACCACGGATAGCCTGGACTGCACGAGGGATGTCCTTCATGCTAGATGATGGTTCTGCAGGCAGCCAAAGATGAAGGCGCTTGTAAACCTCAGCTACAATCTCACAGATAAATAGATTCTAGCATAAAGTTGGTTCTCAGTGTGCACAGACACAGGTAGACACCACCAGGATCCAAACTGGTACTTTTCCAAGCCCACCAGCAGATTGTCTACAGCTACGATAGTGTATCTGTCTGTCTGTCTCATACACCTAACCTCCAAGAATCATGCCGATAAGCTTGAATCTCATCAAAATCTCCCCACGAGGATTTAGACAAACAACTTGAAAAAGATATTTTAATTACTATTATTAGCACTGTGTGACCTCCTCTCCTGCTGATGGGCAATTTAATCCTCAGAGTTAGATTTGTTCAAGATTGTAGTTGGCAATCTAGAAGTTGGTGCTGATGCAAGATATTCCGACTCTATCAGACCAGTTCACTTGTTCAACAAGACACACCCACCTACACATGCACACTCACATATACATATGCACACACACACACATGCACACACACATAAGCACATGCATACATACATGCATACACATATGCACACTCATACATATACATGCACACACACATACACACATGCACACCCACATATACACATGTACACACATGCATAGTCACATGTATATATACATATATATACATACACACATGCACACACATATGCATACACACACACACACACACACACACACACAACACACTCCAGTAGCTCTATTTGCCATCTCCAGCTAATGTTCCTCTGAAAAGGATGCCTGCTTTGTTTTCCTCCTGAGAGGTGTGGAGAGTTAAAAACACCGATCCCAATGCTTATTTCTTTTTTAAAAAATCTTAGTCTTTAGATAAACCTATAAAAAGTGTTATGATTCTCTACTTTTAGTTAAAATCAACAAAATAAAATCTGGATTAATTTTATTTTTCTGTTTTCTTTAATGGTGTGTTCTCACCAGTAACTACAAACTCAGATTTTCTAAGACTCCCATGCTCCACCTAGCGCCATAACTTAAGAACAGCATCTGCTAACAATTTTTGCCAAATAATTCCTCATTTAACAAAAAAAAATTACAGATCTTCAACTTAAAAATACTTGGGTTCAGTCTGGAGATGGTGGTGCACGTCTTCAATCCCAGCACTCGGGAGGCAGAGGCAGGGGGATCTCTGTGAATTCAAGGACAGTCTGATCTACAGAGTGAGTCCCAGGACAACCAGGGCTACACAGAGAAACCCTGTCTTGAAGAAAAAACAATGAACAACATAACAAACAAACAAAATGCTTGTGTTTTGTAGGAGGCACAGCTTAGAGAAAGCACTGGAGGAACCAGGCTTGTTAAACACACAGGCCTATTTTCTCCCTAGGAAGAAAATGACCGACACCTGGTCACCCAGAAAGCTGGAGTGAATGTTGTCGGTCAACCTGGTCATCCTTTGCTGTTCCATGAAGCCAGCCTTCTGGAATCCCCCAATAACCCGAGTACTGTTTAGGCCCTTATCCTGAGCTTAGTCTTTAAGTAAATAGAACCCATCCTTATGAAGAAGGTCCCATGTACTTTGCATCATCGACCAACAGACTCCATCCTTATGCTTATGAAAATCCTTCCTCCTTAGGCCCTTCCCCTGAGCACTGCCTA